GGCCCCCTCAGGTACGGCCCTGCCCCCGCGCTGCGGGCGCTTCAGCCGCCCCGGGGGAGGGGGGCGGCTGGCAAAAGCTGTGGTAAAACCCTGTGGGGAAAGGAAAGGCGACGTTAGCGCTGTAAATTACGAAGCCAAAAAAAGAAAATTCGTTGGTTGTTCTGCTGCTGGGGAGTGTAACGGTGTGCGTCCCTTGCTGAAGGTGCCTTCTTGCCTCCTAGGGAGAAAATGTGCTTTTTCTGGTGACCAATTTCATCGCTACAGCGAAGCAAGCCCAGGGCACCTGTCCCGAGGTAAGTGAGCTGTGCTGTTCCTTAGCCCAGCGCTGCGGTGGGGTTAGACTTATAAAGCCGGTCAGTGCTGCTGCGCTGTAGCTGTACAGGAACTCGGAAGAACCCAGTGCAAGACCAGACAGAAGGGAAAAATGGATTTTTATTCCAAACAAAACTGATTCCCCTCATTCTCATTGCTCCATAGATGTTACTCACTCATTTGCGCTTGCTCTGTCCTACCTGCATGAACCAAGACGTGTATCCAAGCAGTCTGGCCAGAATCACTTGTGGCGACCAGAAGGACAAGGGACATGGTCTGTTGGGTCCTCGCCAGCTCTCTGGGCTTCTTGAGGGGTGGTGACACTGTCTGGTCTTTACAGGCTTTCTACTGCCTTTGAACAAGGGCCGCTCTCGGGAGGCTGAGCTGCGTTGCCCTGTTGCTGTTCTGTCTCTGCACTGCGGCTGGCATCAGCACTGCCATCCCCAGCTAATACCTCTGTTACCTGTGTTCCTTCTTGAGTCTCACACATATTCTTGGTTTCTTGACTTGCTGCTCCGCTATTTTTCCTCTGTTCTGCCATTTTTCTTGATGCTTTCACACACACTCCATGGATACCTGTGTCATGTTTCCTTTATAACTCTCTGCTGCAGGACTAGTATCCTTTCCATCTTAGCGTCCTATTTTTAGGAGGAACGGAGCACAAGGTCTAGGTGGTTTTGCAGTCAGCCAGCACTTGGTGGTATATGTTCTCTGGGATAAGTCTTCCCTTTAAGGCTGGATTCAGGCCAGCTCCTCAGCTGAACTCTCCCAAGCTGGACCCTGCTTGGCAGACAGGAGCAAATGTCTTTTAAGCTAAGCCGCTGTTGGCACCTTGTGCCTGAGCCAAGCACTGTTTGTCCTAATGGTCCCTTCGGCTTTTGCTGTGGCCTGCTGTACCGTGCCCAGCCTGATCCTGCTTCCCAGCTCGCCCTGTGCTGCAGGCTGCCGGGCTGGGCGGCTCTCCAAACACAGCCCACAGGCTGCGGGAGAGGAGGAGCAACCCGGGTTTTGGGTTGGGGAAAATGGTACTAACGATCCCTCTTTAAAACATTGAGAACTTCTGAAGTGCTGATAGCTGCAGGGACGTCCCCAGGGGAAGACATGTGCTGTAGAGCATTTCAGGGCTCTCTCACAGGCAGTCACGGGCATCTTATTTTTGCTTATTTTTGCAGTGTGCAAGCCAAGGATACAGAGAGGGCAGAGCATGTCATCCCATTACGGTGCTGTGGTGTGTCTGCCCGTCACAGCCTTCACCCCGTGCTGCTCTCCAGTAGTTTCTCAGTTCCTGGCTTTGGGGCTGTAGCTAACGTTCATGTTTGGAAAGCTTTGAAGATTTAGCAGGGACAGCTTTTGACTTTGCAGGAAATTCTGAATATTCTCGATTACCAAAGTATTCTGTGCTGGTAGACCAGGGAAAAGTCTGGCTGGGGACAGCGGCAGCACTCGAACACAGGACGGGTTGTTTTAGCAGCTGATGTCTGTGTTGAGCTTAGATCTGTGGCTGAGCTGTGACTTATCTCTTAGGGAGATGTTTCAATGTTGATCTCAAATACTTTGAGTCGTTGGAAACCCTCTGCCTCTATTTGCAAGGCGCTCTGAAGGTAAATGAAGATGATCAAAACAGACTTAGAGCCAGAAGGTATTAGTCAGACAGTGCATCCACTCTGTCCAGATAGAAGCTGTGGGTCTAAGGGACCATTTCACTTAAATTATGGTCTTTAGTACAAGCAGCTGTGCTCAGCTCTTACAGGTCCAGATGCTGCTGATGGCTGTGCGCGTGAGTGGCACTGGTCCCAGCCCCAAGCAACGCAGGACCGTGTCCTACGGGGATGAGGCGGGTGTTAGATTTTGGGAGAAGCCTCATCCTTCTTTGCTCACATGTGATGCTACTGCTGGTTTGCTCTCCAAGAAGGTTCACTTTGCTTCCTGGCCCCTGGTACGTGGCTGCATAGCTGTTGAAGGCTGGGAATCAGCAATTGTTTCTAATAAGATTAAGAATAAAGTCATTCTCTACCCACATATTTGTGACTACAGAAGGTAAATACAAACCTTTCAGCCCTGAGGTTCCTAGTGTTCATGCACAGATCTCTGCTGTCAACACAAGCACCTCTTTGCTGCCCCTGTCTGAAATCACCCCTGTCCCAGGAACACAAATGCGACGAACTCCAAGCAGCATCTGAGCTTTGCTGTGAGCACCCCCAAGGATGTCTTCTAAAAACGTGTAGTAGTTCACCCACTTGTCAGGAAATCTGTTCTGAATACTGGTGTGCTCATATTCCTGTCCCGTCCCAAACCTGCAGTTCTTGGGTAGGTTCCTAGAAAAATTTGTTACTCCTAATTTTCCCAAGCTTTTAGACCCTTACACAACCGAGATGCAGCAATGGTTTAGAGGGCTTTAAGAGCACAGATCCAGGGCCCCATGAGGGCTTTTAACTGAGTCTAGATCTCCGCTTCTCTCACAGTGCACTTGTGGCACATGTAACCTGGTTTGGATCATGCCTGTGGAGAATGCCAGCACTGACAGATTTTTCAAGGCTCATTTCCACTAAAAGGTGGTAGGGGAGGTTGAAACCTTCTTGGCCAGGTTTTCGGTTTTCTGTAACACCATCACAGACTTCAGTACCTGAATTTCTCCCAAGCTTTGCAGCTTGCATGCCCTGAACACCCAGAAGCGTCTGTCTGCCAAGTGGCACTTGTCATGTGTCTTATTACCTGGACTTGGGAAGGGACTGATCACTCATCTGCAAATATCTGTTGTCTGGGTCCTTCTGGAGGCTGAATCCATGACGTCTGATTTGGATCCAGGAAGCCAAAGCGCTCTCATAAGTACGTATTGCAGCATTGCAGGTGGGTGCTGCACGCTATCAGTGGGGGTGAGGGACAGGAATCCAGTAGCCACCCTTCTCCAGTGGTCAGGCAGGACTCCCTGGTCCCTCCGGTAGTCCTGCAGGCTTGCCCTTAGATACCCTGCCTTGCTCCCAGGCCACCTCCTCCCTGGCTTGTCCGGCCCGATGTTTGCTGTGAATCACACGTTCACATGCGCACCTGCACTCGCAGCAGCTGGCACCCAGGCACACGGGCCCCTGTGATGACTGGTGGTCCCACTCCAGCTGCTGGCACTCAGACCCCCATACACCCAACATGCATACAGAATAGAGCCCCTCGCCCAGGAAAATAGTTGGAAATGGAGTTTAGTCCGAAGACAGGACAGACTGTGCTGATGGGGCACAGGGCATGGGCGGACCAGTGTACTGACCAGCCAGCTCTGTACGTGCAACCAGTCCTTTGCATCCTTTTATCCCTCTATTTTCCCATGTTTGTTCCTTCTCAGATCACCTAAATCCCTCCTTTTCTATGCCTTTCTTCCTCCCCTAAACATCCCATCCCCTAAATGTCCTGTGCAATCCCAAAATGCTCTTCTCCTGCATCTCATAATGATTCCCATACCCCTGGGCAGTGACCCCCCCCACCCAGCCCAAAGGTGCTTCAGAGAGCTGCTCCTCTTGGCTCATTATGGTGGGTTTCACACCTGGAACAGGGGGCTGAGGCTGTCCTGGGACAGCCTTGGAAGGGCCTGGACAGATCCCCCTTCTTCTGACTCCATAACCGGGTTTTCCCCACCTGCCTTTGGGCCTCTGTGCCCCTCTGGGCTTGGGGAAGTGGGTTTCTGACGGGCTGGTGACTCCTGCGATGGCCTGGGAGTAGCTGCGGGAGGGTGTTACTCGTATTCCCCCACCTGCCATCGTCTGTGTTTGAATAGGAGCTTTTTGCTGCTCCTGGCAATAAGGTGGGTCCGGAGTGAGGGTGAAGCTTTCCATGTCTCTTGTAAAACTTGTGTTATGCTGTATTTAGGGTCTCTTCAGCTCTTCCCCGGGGGAACTGTGGTGGTGCTTTACAAGGTGCTTAATGGGCTCTGACATTAAGGCCCTCCTGAATCCAACCATGCTTGTTCCCAGTCCCAGCTGAAAGCTCCGAGCTAGCTCCTGAGGCTTCCTCTGCCTCCGAGGCGGAGGAGGCGAGCGCCCCAGAGAGCGTGGAGACAGGCGGGAAGGATTGCCCCTCAGAGATGCCTCTCTCCTCGCTGGCTGGAGGCTGCCCGGGTTCTGGACATGGCGGATGTCTTCTGTAAGTGTTTGGGACGTGTCTGGAGAAACAGGAGCAGCAGCGCAGACATGTGGGTGAGTGACCGCGTGGCCTCAGGCGGCTGCACAGCGCAGTAACAGCGCTTCTCTCTGTCTTTCTCAGAGCCCCTCTGTTCTCGATGCGGTGTGCACAGAAGATGCAGACTGTCCCGTGGGAAACCCTGTGGTTCGCGGCAACGGTACGGGGTGTTTTGCTAAAAAAAAACATAAAATCATTTAATTTGTCATGTTCGGTAGCAAACCGATCCACAAAGGTGCCTGATTGCCCGAGTTCAGTGCTTTTCCTAAGTGCGCACAGAAGTGCTCTCCAGCCATTTATTCTTGGCAAAACCTTACAGCGACCTGTCACGGCTGGGCGAGCAGGTGCTGCGGGCACAAGGCGCTGTCACAGCAAATACAGGGGTGCTTTATTTCTGATGTTGGCTGCTGGAATTGAAACCACTGTGCCGTGTGATTGGCAGGTTTTCCTTTTGTAATAAAACCTGGCTTTTATTTCATGCTGATTAATATTAGCAGCCCATGTGAGTTCAGCTGGAAAAGGATATTTCAGCTCTAGGAGGTTGGTTGCCAAAGCTTTGTGTGCGGGATTGCCCCAGTTCGTTGTGTTCCCACCCGGGGAGCGGGTGACTTCAGCAGCCACGGGGCAGGAGAGGCTGCGCGGGACAGACAGGCGCTGACAGCAGCAAGCAGCTTCTTGTCTTTGTAAAACAGCTCCTGTCGTTCGGCCTCGAGGGAAGGTTTCACAGGGTGGTTGTTGGGTGGGGAAAACACTGAAGATGATGCCAGGGTCGTCTTTGTGGTTCAGGTATTGAGAAGGCCAGAACAAGCCTGTGGCCAGGGCACTATCCCAGGAGGGGAGCTGCAGAGAAGACACTTCAAAAAGGAATGTAAATGATATACGTTGTCTCATTTCTAGGGATAAAAACTGGGAAATGTGTGATGTTCAACACCACCCATTCCACCTGTGAGATCTATGGTTGGTGTCCTGTGGAGAACAACACCCTGCCCAGGTGAGGCACAGGGTGAGGGGACCGTAGACATTGAGAGCTTTAGTTCCTTTCCTCTGTGCTCTGTGTAACCAGAGGCCTGATCATACTTGCCCGGGGGGCATCCAGGCTCAGGGAGATCTTTGACATTGATCTACCCGTCAGTTAAGCCCAGAGAACTTCATGCAAGAGCATTTCTTGCAGCTGTCCACTGTAGCCAAAGTCCCAGGATCGTGGAAGAGACTGCAGAGCGAGGGGAATGGGGACGTGCCTTGGCAGCTGTGCAAAATTTGAGTTCGTTGGTGGTTGTTTTCCAGGAAACCTCTTCTGGCTGAGGCGGAGAATTTCACTCTTTTTATAAAAAATACTATCCACTTCACCAAATTCAACTTCTCCAAGTAAGTATGACACTCCTCCAGCCAGACTGTGTGTGCAGCCTAGTCCAGCATCTGTGCTGAGCTTGTCTGCCTAGGGGCTGAGCAGCCGAGGCGTTCAAGAAGCCATGTGCCATCCAGGACGGGTGGTGGCTCGGGGCAGTTACGGTTCAGGATGGTGTGTTCAGGAGAACGCCGGTCGCTTCAGCGGCACCTGTGTTTGCAGATGTAAGAGCAATGGGGTGGGGAGCCCTCAGAGAGAGGGACTGGTGTCCGTCTGCCTGTCTAGAGCACCACAGACAGGGCTGGACAAGGCCACTTATTCCCAAGGTCTCATTTTACCCCGTGTATTCCTGCATTTTAGTCCCTGCCAAATGGCTTCACAGAGGCCCGGTAAAGGGCTGCGCTGGCCTCACAGCCCCAGGCATGCTGACTGTGCTGCCTTACTCTGGCAGGAGACGTGGCTTGGGGCAGTTCAGCCGCCCCTGCTATCACCCCTAGAGCGCTAATTCAAGCTGGGTCATTACATCTCACAGGGGTGGGAACTAGGTGTCGGGGAAGAAAGGAGAAGCACAAAGGCAGAGAGGTGGAGGAGAGGAGCTGGGAGGGGAAGGACCGTGGCAGGTGCTGTAAAGGATGACATCTCCGCGTGTGATTCCTTCGGGCTGGTTTCCCTCCACCGTCTCCAACTAAGGCTTTAGGAAGGGCACTGACTATCTCCCCCCGAAGCAGGAGCATTAGTGGTCCCACTCCAGTGGGAGGGTCTCCTTTTCAGTCCTGCAGCAGGGCTGCCTGACCTCCCACACCCCCACCCGTGACAGCTCTCCCCCTCTCTCTTCTGTCTCAGGTGCAATACTTTGCAAACCAATGACCCCACCTATTTCAAGAGCTGCACGTACGATCCGTTCTTCAACCCTTCCTGCCCCGTCTTCCGTGTCCGTGACATGGTGGAGGCAGCTGGAGAGACCTTTGGGGACCTCGCCCTGCTGGTACTTGGTTGTTTTTTTTAAAAGTATGGAAGATGACTCCAAATTCCCCAAGGATGTGGGCAAGGGGCGGGGGACAGGACTGACCCCTGAAATGCTTAGGGAATGTGTGATCTGTGAACATCTGAACAGTAAAGAACTCGGCAAATCTCTGATCCCGTGCTTCTCCTGGAATAAAACATGTTTTGCAGGGGGGGAGCATCGGAGTTCGCATCGAGTGGGACTGCGACCTGGATCACCCCGCTGCCCAGTGCCAGCCGCAGTACCTGCAGGACAGGAGGTACAATTTCAGGTGAGGATGCTGGGACAGTGGCCGCACGGGCCTGTGGGTTGAGCACACGGCAATCGTTCGAGATCTTAGTTTTCCTGATTGGTGCTCTGAAAGGAGCAGCAGGGACAACGGGATGTGGTAGCTCAGCACAGGGTCTGTCAGTACCAGGGTTTCGTGGTGGTTCCCGCACCTTGTAGCTCTGCTCTGTTTGGAGCTGTGCAAGGCATTACCTGGCTGAGGGCAGGGACGTGTGGCTGTCCACGCCTGTGCTGACCCTGAACTGGACGCACCGGGAGCTGCGTGCTCCCGGTGACCCTGGGCTAGGTGCTGAGCGGACACTGATGCCCCTCTGCCGATGCCAAGCTAGTGAGTCATGGCAGCACATGCATCACCCACGTCCCAGCCCACTGGAGGACACAAGGTATGCACAGGCACACGGTAGCCCCAGCAATCGTACGGCACTGGCAGCCCTCTTCCCCCACTGCCTGCGCAGAGCTGCCATGTGTCCCATGTCTCCCGCAGAACTGCCTCCTACTACTGGGACTCCCAGCGGCGGCTCTGCCGGAACCTGCTGAAGCTCTACGGCATCCGCTTCGACATCTCCGTGCACGGCCAGGTACCGTCTCCTCTGCAGACCCTGCATGCACAGTCCTGGCGGCCTTGTCACCGGGGCTGACTCCTCGCACCACTCCCTCCTGCTCTCCCCTGCAGCCAGCCCCGTGGCTTCCTGCTGGCGTTGCTTCTCCCCACCGTGGTGAGCTCTTCACCTCTTTCCAGAGTTTTCCAAGCAGAGCAGGAAAAAATGGTCTCTCTCATTTGAAGAGAAACTTCTTGGTAATGCCCTGAGCAGGGAGGCTTCCCTCGTTGAGGATTTGACATGGGTGTTGTGAACTGCTGGGCCCTGTAGGCGAGGTGAGCTTGTCTGGGCAGAGGGACTGTGGGCATCTCTGAGGGACTCATGGTGGGAGCACCCTGGCAAAGATCAACCTGAACTTTTCAGAACCTGGACAATTAATCCCTTCTTGATTAATTGTATCCTCGGGGAGAAAAGGCGTGGGCATGATCATGGCTGATCCTACTCTATGCAGCATCACTGACAAACTCAGTACTCAACTGTGCAAGATGGAGCCTGTGCTGAGAGGACTTGCCACCCCGAGAGATGTCCACAGCTGGTCTGTCGTGCTTAGCAGTGGCCTTTTCACATGAAGAGGGCGAAGCACGCAGTGCAGGACAGGGTGCACCCGCTTCTGGGTGGTGAGACCAGGTCCAGGAGGTGTGGAGCGGGATCGAATAGCCAGAAGAGAGACAGGAACCCGAAAATCTCTTTCCTCAGATACCATGTTATACGCTGTTTGCTGGGATGTAGTTCCGTGGGTGGCAGCTGCTGGGGTCCTGCAGCAAGAGGGAGGCTTCTGCTGTGCCTGCAGGAGTAGGTGGGTCACAGTAACCTCTGCTGCTACCGAGTCACGAGCTGCCTCAATCCCTTCTTTGATAGCCAAAGGGGGTTTGAGTCAAGGCAATAGCAGTCAGGTTTCCACAGCTGGGCTCGGAGAAATGACCCCGGTTTCCTCCAGCACCTCCCTGGCTTTAAGCACGCTGCCCAGCGGGGCTTGTCCCGCAGCCCTCTCACCGCTCTCCACCCACTGTCTTCCCCCCTCCACC